TATATATATATATAAATGTTTTTTTTGGCAAGATATTTCCCCTGAAGTGTATATACAATGTACAACTTCTTTTGCATCAGTAACTTTTTATTAGTATCTTAAAAGATCTATATATTTTTAGCATTAGTTTTTTTTGTTTTTCAGTCTGAGGTTTATTTACAATTTACAAGGTTTCTTGCGCCAGAATTGTGCGGCTATACACCACATGGCATAAGTTGCTTTTGTCTAATCGCCTCATTTGCCTTCAGACGGCAGGTAACGATCCATACTGCTTTGTGGAGTTCTTCGAGCATAGGCACGCAGCAGCCTCACTCGCATCTATGAATGGGCGTAAAATAATGGGTAAGGTAAGCTATCGTATCTACAGGGTGAGTTGGGCTGGGACGTGGGTGGGACAGTTTAGATGTTCTGCAGACTTTTAGCAAAGTAGACTCGACCAGTTGAGTCCGAGGTCAACGTTAGCCTGTATACTGGATGTGCAATGTGAACTGAGAGGGAGATTTTGACATTTTTCATGTTCAGGCCATACAAATCTCATTATTATGAACTCGAATTGAATAAAATAATGATTAGTGCGAATAGTACATAATTCACCTGACTGATGCTTTTGTATTTCCATTGTTGGATGTAGCGCTTCCTTGAAATGTGAATTTTGTGCTAAAGTACAGACAGGAAATGTAAAACTGATTTATCACAGCCATTACCACTTTTTTTTTTTATGGTATACAAGATAGCATTTTGAAAAAAAGAGGCTTAACTTCACCCACATTCAAAATTTTTTTTAGTTTTTGCTTCAAGTTTTGTCATATACTCTACCATTTAAAGGTTTTGAGGTTTGTAAGATTTTTTAAAATGTTTTTGTAAGAAATCTCTTATGCTTGCTTAAGTAGCATCTATTAGTTAAAACAATGATACTGAAATATGACTACAAATAAAATTTTCATTTTAATATATTTTCAGAGTCCTGAAAAAGAGACTTCTTAAAAATGTTTTTTAAAAAATAAATAAAAATTACTGACCCCAAACTTCAAATCAGTAGTGTATATTGCATATTACCCCTTCATATACCTAGAATTTGACTCTAGAACAAGATTTTACATTAGAGTCAAATTATTAAGCCTTCTGCCTATTCAGTGCAAAATATTTTATCCTCAACAGGTAATGAAGGACCATTTGAGGAGTAATACAATTTGGTAAATTCACTTGTTTAGTAAGTCCCTTGTTATTTGGACCTTTTTGCTACCAATAATATATATATATTTTTTTGCCTATTCAAATAAGTTTAAGTGTGAAGTTAGTATCGTCAGGTCTCCCTCCTCTCTGCTGTACATTCAGACCTCTATAGTGTTAAGGAGAGTAATTTATTAATAGATGAATAGAGAGCAGCAGCTTGATCTATCTGTATCATTTCTAATCTTTCTCTCAATTTGTTCCTCCCTATACCCCTCTCTCCTAGGAGGTAAAGGTCAACTGGGCTACATCACCTAGCAGCCAGAAAAAAGACACAACCAGTGAGTTCCATCTTCAATTAATGCCTGTAATCATAAAAAGGCCGAATATTCTCTGATGAACAGACCTGGCGCATACATTGATCTGTCACTCATTCATACTCCTTGAATGTCTGAATTATTACAAATGGGGTGTCAGTCCAATTAACTCTTGTCTGGTATGCTTTAGATCACTTCCATGTCTTTGTTGGAGACCTCAGTCCAGAAATCACCACTGATGACGTCAGAGCTGCCTTTGCACCCTTTGGGAGGATGTCGTAAGTGAAATGACATGATGCATTTTGAATAAAGAAAATACTTGTTTTTTTTTTTTGTGTTTTTTTTTCATTGAGTTGCATTCAACTGCTTTGAGTCATTAGGCCTGCTTAAAGACTAATAAAGCCAGTAACGTGCAAGGTCATGTAAAAGCCTTTTCACCTTTTTCTCGAGGAGAGGTCATGCATGGATAATTCAAAACACATCAACACACCCAGGTTTTTGCCCATTGCCCCACTAAGTTTGCATGTATAGCTCAGTTGTCATTTTATTAAATATGCACGTGATTATTTGCTTTGTTAAATAGTCTTGGATCATTTAAAATCTCGTGTGAACTGTTTTCTGGCCCTTTTTTGTTCCCCATTTGAATATTTAAAATGGATTTTTGTAATGAGTAGTTTTTCAACGTGTAGCAGCCAGTGAGTGTTAACATTGGTTGACTTTTCCCTCAGTAATATGTTTACGAGTCTCAAAAGATTTCGGATTATTTTTTTCCCTGTTAAAATAGCACATTGGAGTTTAAATTGTCTGTTGTCAACACACCCAACTCTTTTCTCTTATTTTCTTAGAGATGCGCGTGTAGTCAAAGACATGGCAACGGGGAAGTCAAAAGGCTATGGTTTTGTTTCATTCTTCAACAAATGGGTGAGTCACAATCCCAACATCAGGAAATGCAGGTTTTTAACTAAGGGTGGGGAACATCTGCATTTGAATGCTTATCCCAGAAGCTTCTGTTGTGGCCATGTGCGGATGTTCCTGTTGTGCTGGTTATTGGCAGGATGCAGAGAATGCCATTCAGCAAATGGGAGGTCAGTGGTTAGGCGGCAGGCAGATCAGGACTAACTGGGCTACAAGAAAACCCCCAGCGCCTAAAGCAACCTATGAAAGTGAGTATTCATATGCGTTAAAGACTTCTCCACTGCTTTTAATCAAGAGATAACCCTGGTCTGTTTCTAGCTGCCATCATGAAATCGCTATCTAACCCATGCTAAAAATGTTCGTTCTGTCAAACAAGAAAATACTCCCGTTTACTCTCACCTTTAATCCCAAACCTTTATGAACTTTGTAGACAAAAAATATTTTTTGCAAAAGTTTTGCAGAACATCTATTTATCATAAATAGTAACTCAGACTGTTGAGCTCCAAGAATAAGCAAAGCAGCATAAATGCAAGATTTTTTTTTTCTTATTTATGTTCCACGTCTTACATGTTTTTTTTAACCCACGCAAAGTTTTTGCTTAATCTAAGTCACATTTCATTTGATTCAAATATGGCACGTCAAGTCTTGTCGCACTGGTTTAACATTAATTATAGGACTTGCAAGAACATGTTTGGCATCATTGTCAATCCTGGTTCAGGGTGTCTGGATACAAGTGACAACCAACACCAACTACAGCAAAATGGACCTCAGCTTTGAATAACTTAATTTTTTTAATGAAAATCAGTGATGACAAATTTTAAATTGTGTATGAACTTTAAAATGAATACATAGGCCCATCAGTTAATCAGCATTTCATTAATCAATTTCACAGCAAATGCCAAGCACTTGTCGTTTGATGAAGTGGTGAACCAGTCCAGCCCCAGCAACTGTACTGTGTATTGTGGCGGAGTCACTACAGGCCTTACAGGTTAGTGTTTGCTGCCTTTTGACAAGCTGAACCTGGACTTTTTTTGTGCTGTCTGTGTAACCTTTTTGAATTCAAAGTTATGCTAATGGAAAGTCATTTTTGTAATGTGTTCCGCTTCTCTTTTCTCTGAAGAACAACTCATGAGACAGACCTTTTCCCCATTTGGTCAAATCATGGAAATTCGAGTGTTTCCAGACAAAGGCTACTCGTTTGTGAGGTATGTTAATGTTGTTCAAGTAAAATGTGGTGGTTACAGGTAGAGGTCGACCGATATGGGTTTTTCACTGGCCGATGCCGATATTTAGAAATCAGGGAAGCCGATATATGATGCCGATTTTTTTGGCCGATATGTTTGGCCAATTTTTTTTTTTTCCCCCATTCATCTCATAATAGTGAGTTTGAGCAAATGATTATTGCAGGGTACAAGATAGTAATGGTAGTAGTAGCCTACTTCAGAGTAATAATACATGGCTCGAAACTTAAAGGGGTCATATGATGCTGCTAAAAAGAACATTATTTTGTGTATTTGGTGTAATGAAATATGTTTATGCGGTTTAAGGTTCAAAAAACACATTTTGTTGAAGTGTTCTGGAACAGTGTTGTAAATACAACTTAACCACTGATTTCTAGTCGTGTCCATTTTTGGAAGACCACACAAAGTAATTTCGCTTTCACAACAAAACAGCGTCACACACAGCCGCCTACAGTGAGCAGAGGCCGGGGGAGAGACTTTAGTCTTTGCAACTTTACAGATCTTCTTTATGCACCAAGAGCTTGTAACACTCCAAAGAGAAAGGAAAACTTGAAATCGCATCATATGACCCCTTTAAGCACCTTCTCAAAACATTTCTGAAGCATGTTTTTTGTTTGTTTGCTGACAGACACCAGTGTTTCCCACAGACTGCAAATTAATTCTCTGCCAGCAGGAGGCGCTTTGGGGGCTGGAGATATAGCAGTTTCCCCGGTAACGGCTGTAATCAAATCAGCCCTGCAGCTCACAAATGCTGCTTTATCAGGCATTACAGGAAAGACGAAATGAAAATGACATCGAAGCTTTTCTGAAGACAGTCGGTTCTTTAGATACATTCATATAAAAACACCCGCGCTGCATTTATTTTGAAACGTGAAGCGCTCATTTTATTCAACGAAGTATAAGCCTTTTGGAAAATCTATTTATGGTGGTCAGTTTTGATATTGTGACGAGCCGCCACAAATAACTAAATGTGTAGGAAACACTGGACACTGCTATAAGTCAAATGGCCATAGTGATTGCAAAAATAAAAGATTTCACACATTACACAGACTGCTGCTCATAACCGCTTAAGAGTGCGCTGGCCACGAGCGATGACATCGTGGAGGCTATTGTTGGACCCACACACACATTTCATGAGGAAAGTTAACGTGCACGTTATAATCAGCCCAGAAGTTTCATCTGAATTGAACGTGTTTCTACTTTCACATGCAAATGACTTGTTGCACTTATGAATATGATAACTTTCCGGCATCAATTCTAGTAGGGTAAAACATAATTCCGCTTTCGAAACGGTCTGTTTTGCCCTGCCATTAGCTGAAGCTGTGTGGGAACAAGCCGCAGCTGCAGAGTGTGAGCTACTCTGTCTCACGCAGCCTCCGAGGGAGTTCCGCAACAACGCTTAGCTGCCCGCCGGTGCGCCTGCCTATAAATCGGCCTAATTTGCAGCACAATCAGCCGATGCAGATTAATTAAAAAATGCCAAAAATCGGCCGATTAATCAGCCGGCCGATCAATCGGTCGACCTCTAGTTACAGGTCATAATGGTGGAGGCTGATGTAACATGGTTTATCTCTGCAGGTTCAGCTCTCACGAAAGTGCAGCTCATGCGATAGTGTCTGTTAATGGCACGTCTGTAGAAGGTCACATAGTGAAGTGTTACTGGGGTAAAGAGACCACAGACATGGTGAGCCCCATGCAGCAGGTGCAGGTACCCCAGGTGAGCAGTAGTATGTTTCCATCCCCTGTTTTATACTTTAAAAAAAAGTTTAGAAATGTTCCAGCAAAATGTAAAGGGGTATTTCTTCTTGTGTAGTGATGTTGCATGTATAGTGAGAATTGTTTCAATAAATAACTCATGGGCGCATGTTCTGATTTTATAGCAGAACAAAGTTGGTTTTGCTGCCCAACCATATGGCCAGTGGGGACAGTGGTACGGCAATGCACAACAGATTAGTCAGTACGTCCCTAACGGCTGGCAGGTACCCACTTACGGCGTGTACGGGCAGGCCTGGAACCAGCAGGGCTTCAAGTAAGTACAGATCAACATGCCTCCATTTTGCTTAACTTCAGAAGGCTACTTTATTATAGTCCAATTTACTGGTTTAATTAATAGTAGTAGTAATAATAATCTCTGTTACTGTTGGGAAAAATGTTTGAGGATGTACTTTTTGCTTCAGGAAAACCTGACAATAAGATCCTTGAAAATGAAATCGTCAGTTGTAGACACTTTGACAGTGAATACAATTAGAGGGTGACAAAGGGGAAAAAAAAATAAAAAATACATATAATTTATTTTTTTATTTTATTTTTTTGATGGCTGATGCCTATAATTTAGAGACGACAGTGGTGTAGATATGCAGTGCATAGTTCATAAATTATGCTACAATCAGGTATATTTTATTTCTAAATTCGTATGTGCTGTAATTTTAAAAATGTATGAACAGAATAATTTGAATTTAAAAATAACATAGAATGTTTTATACTTCAGCAAATTTATGATTTTGTATTTATTCTGATACAGTTTTTCACAAATAAAGGAAAAGACATGACATGAATTTAAATTAAATAATTTTGGTGATTTCAAAATAAAAGTCACTGTCAGTATACTGTCAATATAAAAGTCCCACTTCTGACACTTGTTAGCCAGACAGAAGAACTCATCAGCCAATACCTATAATTGAAAAAATATTTATAATAATATATTTGGCAACCACTAAAAATGATTTAGTTGTGTGTGGTTCAAATACTTATTTGACTAGAAATTGTTATTTTGTGTGTGCACTGCAGCGTTAAAAAAAAAAAAAAATCCTTATCCAAACTATTGGGAAAAACATTGTCCAAAATTGTGGTTTAACCGTTTATGCGGTGGTAAATAGTTCAAATGAGGGATTTCATAGACACCACCAAGCAAATTAGTGGAAAACGTGTGTAGACTCTGGTCAACATTTTCACTCATACATTTTTAGGTAAATGGGAGACTGTTGTCAGTTACTATGATCACATAAAAGTATCTGCTAAATATCTTTTCCAGCCTCTAACAGCCACTGTGTCTTGTAGTCACATTCAGGCTGGCGCTGGGTGGCCCGGTGTGAGCGCCGTGAGTAACGGAGGCGTGGTGGAGCCTGCGCAGGGTGTCAACGGGACCGTGCTAGCCAATCAGTCCAGCATGGGCACTGCAGGATACCACACACACTGATGGAGCGACGGACAACTCTAGCACTCCACTGCGGCTGCAGCAGGGATCTACACACAACCCCCACCCCATTCTTAGACACCCATCAAGATGCCTGGCCTGGGGAGGGGCGTGCCATTTTTTTTTTTCCTGACCCTCCCCATCCTCCACTTGTTATTTTCCTTGAGTTTGAGACTTTGAGGCAGATCTTGCTCGTCATCGCGGGGTCTTGAGTTGCCCTACACTGGGATTAAACAACACACCCTGTTACACAAACGTATTCAGACACATTAACACACCCACATAAATCCACAAGTCTTCGGCCTGGTGTCCGACTGACTTATTCGAAGAGGACTATTCCATTTTTAACTCGAAGTACTATAAATAAAATCAATAATAACTGCAACTTTTTCCATTTTGCTTTTTTGGTTTGTTTAGAGCGATTTCAACTGCTGATTTTGTAATATATGAAGCTTTGCCTTTTTCTTTTTTGGACTTGCCATTTTAAAAGTAAAATTGTTTTGAGAGGAGCGATGACACCAATGAATCGTGTGAAATGTAAACTTTTTTTTTGTTTTGTTTATAAAATGAATAAAATGGATGTCAACTGTTGCATTTTTTTAATTAGACATTCAATTTCTCAAACTGAACCAATTGCAGGGATGACTGCCACATTTTTTTTCTTTCAAGGCAGATGAATATTGCACAATATTAATACGTTTTCACAAGAATTTGATGTTACGCAAATTTTAGGTATTTTAAATTGTTTTGCATTCCACTTTTTTTGAGGCCTCATAAGTACAGTATACCATTCTGTATGTAAATAACCAAACAACAGTGTTCAGCTGTTGGGACGCTATATAAAGATAATTCAGATGTTGATTATGGATGCTTGCTTGCTTTTTGTTTTTGTAGGTAGGTGGGAGGGACCTTGG